AGCACATGTGTAAAATCACAGAGGTACTTGCCCGAAAGTCGCACTGGCTGGGAATCGAACCACGGTCTCCCGCGTGCCAATCCACGACCTAGCCGACCGAGCCACCGCGCGCTCAAAATAAGTATACTTGGTGTAGACCCGACATGGTGCCTTCTCCCTCTACTCGATATATACAGCTATATCAATACCTATAGTTTACTCACTCTCGCGTGGTCAGTCAGTCTGTCGATACGCATTCCCTGCTTTTCGTATTTTCCTTTTGATTTGATCTTGCTTTATTCAGTTCAGCTTACGGTTGTATCCTTGATTGTAAGGACTAAAGATAGCATACACTGAAGATAATGAGAATAAACGTGTCCGTATTTTATAATAAAATCGACAGTGTTGTACATTTTATTGCCCGATCACACACCCACACATCCATACTGCTAACAGTTTAGTATATTGTACTTCAAGTTTTAAACTTTTATAAAGTAATATATAACTACATAATTAATTAAAGCATATGTCAGTAGTTCTCGTTAAAACTCAGCATTATTGGCTTTTCTCCATTGAAATGGCACAGCTCCTTTATTCATGAAGTAATTAGTAAAGCAGTTTCACATGCGTACAGCAGCAACTTGTCTAGCCCTATCACTTTTGAATGAATATAAATTTTCTTTCAAGTTTTCACACTGGTGTGTATTTAAAGTGGGTTCTGGTTTTTTCTTGCTACTTGAATCTTTCATAATAATGAAGTTGTGTAGACACACGCAAGCTTTCACTGTCTCTATTAATGTTGGTAGTGAAATTTTTACACGACTGTCAAAAAATTTCCACACTTTAACAAATCTGCCAAAACTACATTCAACTATTCTTCGAGCTCTAGACTGACGGTAATTTAATACCTTTTTTTCATGTCGAGCTTTGAACTTCTTGGGTATGGAGTCAAAGTAAATTCACTTAGCCCAAAGGCTTCATCACCTAAAAAAATGTACGGAAGCTTGCATTCTCCTAGAACCAATGGTTCTAGAGGCGGAATATTCAACTGGTGATTTATCATCATTTGGCCTGTTGTACTGTTAGTGAATACACCTCCATCGTTTTGACGACCAACTGCACCTACTTCGACAATGATAAATTTTTGATAAGCATCGATGTAGGCCTACAGATGAATACTGTGATGCCCTTTGTAATCATAGAAGTATGAGTTACTATGTAGAGGAGCCTGAAAAATGTAATTTTTAGTACATGGTTTGAGGTATACTTTTCATAAAGATCACTGTTGGATCATAAGTACCTGCATTGTTATTAATTTATCATCTATGCTTCCCCAACAGTGAGGAAAATCCCATTCATCTTCAAACCCTTTTGAAATATTTTTCCATACCTCTGTGGTAAAGGTCTTCTCAAAAATAATGGACTTAAGACAATACAAAGATGACTACAAGTTTCCTCAATGATTTTTGTAACATTGCTTGGGCTCATTCTGAACAGGTAAGCTAAAGACTTTGTTTTATCTCCTGTTGCCAAGAATCTTAATGTGACTTGTAAACGTATTACTGCAGAAATCGGAGCCCAAAGAACTACCTGTTTGGAAATCGCAGGGCCAACCAAGCACAAAAGCTCATCAAAAAAACTGGGGGTCATCCTGAAGAAATTTCTAAACCCTTGGGTATCATGTAATCGAAGAGTATTGATCAAGTTATCGCTAGCTCCTTGAGCAATTCGATTAACTTCTTTAAATACTTCAGACACCTAAACTCTTTTGCACTTTTCTTTTTTATGTGATTTCTTTTCAATTTAAAAACTGGTATATTATAAACAGCTTTTTTATCTTGTTTCGGAACAAATAGTGTCAAGTAAAAAAACCATTTTTAGAAAAAGTCTATCTCTCTCACTTTCTCTCTTTTTCCGTATGTGAGTGTGGATGTGTGTATTTAATTATACCTCAGAATCCCAACGACCAATTTTAATGTTATAAGCTTAAAATTTATTTAAATATTTCATTCGATAGCTATTATTATAAGTAAAAATGTTAGCAGTATGGGTTTGGGCAGATGACTTGGCGAATAAAAATACAACATTCGAAATATAGAATTAAACTTGGACACGTTTATTTACACTATTTTTAGGTTTAACTATCTTAACACTTTAGTATCTTAAGTACGGTAGCTAACAACAGATAAGGTTGGATAAACTGTAAGTGAAATGCGAAGACAGAGTATGCGTGTGTTAACAGACTGGCTGACTGCGCGAGAGTGAGCAAAACCGTAGTTACTTGACGCTCAAGTGCAGCGTCACTGCGTCTCGTCTTCTGGTCTTCTTGCTGTTGCGCATGCGTAATAATTCAGTTACGATCGCCAATAAAACATCCAACAAAAAAATCAAATAACAAATATTGCATATTTTTCATAATTTTATTAGAGAACTGAAAAGAAAAAAAGAATCAAAAACGCTAAATTTTAAATACCTTTTCAAGTATTAGTTTGTTTGAACACTGTGTTAGTTTTGGAACATAGTTCCAAATAACTTAAAATTTTATGCAAAGTTAACTGTTAATATGTGTGACCCTTGCTATTACTGAGTAAAAATGGAAAGATTTGAGGTGGTGCAACTATATTTTTACTACGAAAGTATCTTTTAATATTTCACATTTTTTGATATTTTATATTTTTTTTAAAAAAGCAAAAAAATGTTACAAATAAAAAATGCAAATTTTTTTTCTTTAATAAATCCATATAACTTCCAAAGAACTTAATAAAAAATGATTAACATAAGTTTATTTGTGCCTAAACTTTTCATCAAGACTTTATCAAATCAAGAGTAGATATTACAGAATTTGCTTGAGAAATAAAAACAGTTATTTAAAATAAAATATTAAATTCATGAAAAATCTTGAAATCAACTTTCAGATTATGAAATAACTAGGGGTAAACGCACCATCTACCGTACATCCGTAAATTTACTTTATTTTGTTACCATGATTGTAAGACAGTTTGATACTAAATATTGACTCAGTAAATTTGAAATTGTTATTTAGGATCTCAAGAGAGCACCGAAATTTTTTTGAGGTGTTAGAGCTAGTTAAAATGATTTTATAATAAAAATATGAAATAGAAGTCATGTTCCTATTTCCGTACCGCCGTTCTCATTACCGGACCCCATCTACCGTACGCGTTCCTATTACCGGACCCCATTCACCGTTTGACGACAAATTTGACTATAACCTCACATTTTTGTTTACAACTGCATATCGATCTCAGTGCCTGCTACATAAATCACGGTGAAAATGTTAAAAGCAGAGAAAGATGGAAAATCGAAAATTAAGAAAAAAACGCCAAGTCAATTATGCAATTCAAAAAGATAGCAGACAGAAAAATCAAAAGAGAAAAATAATTACAGAGAGAGAAACAAAAATAAGAAAAAAAAAATAAAAAATTACGAAAGCAAGAAGAGAAGTTAAAAGCCATTGTAAACAGAAAAAAGTCTGTTGAGAAAGATTTAATGGACGAGACAGAAGCTATTGATTTACAAAAGCAGATTGGGGAACTTCAAGAGAAACAATTAAAACTAAACCAAAAAAGAAACAAAGATCCATCATGAGTAGCAATGCAAGTTCAAATGCAAGTTATTCTTGAATAATTTTTGCCAAGTGAAGTTTTATTTAGTATTAATAGATTTAATTGTCGTTAAGCTGAAACTAATCTAAGTTTAATTACTGCTTGTTTGTATGAAATAACTTATTTGCATTTATTAAAAAAAAATTTATTCATTAAAAAGATTTCTGTTTCATATCATGAGATATTATTGCTTTTTAATATTTTAATTAGACTGACAAAAATCAGTAAAAAAGCTTGAGACTATAATAGTAATCAACTTACGATGTTATGAATATTCAAGAATAACTTGCATTACAAAAATTACTCATGATGGATCTTTGTTTCTTTTTTGGTTTAGTTTTAATTGTTTCTCTTGAAGTTCTCCAATCTGCTTTTGTAAATCAATAGCTTCTGTCTCGTCCATTAAATCTTCCTNGGTAAAACGCCCAATATTTGGACAAAACTAAAATTTAGACCGATACTTGGACAGTGAAAAATCAGTCATTGTAGCAAATAAAAAAGAGATATTTTAAAAAACGGAATAGATTAGAAGTCCTATGATTATTATTGATGATACACTTGAACTTTGTAATAAATTTTAGCAAAATTTAATACAAGCGAATGATTCTAAATTTCACCTTCGGCGCCATAAGAGTGCGATAATTTTTCTCCGTTTTCTATGATTTTGATAATAGGTAATGCTCGTTAAAATTAATCCAATACATTTTTATGCATGCTGTATGGTATTATCTTACAACTTTTACATTAATTAACAATATTTCTAATGTAATCGTGGACAAAAAAAATTTTTATAATTTAAAACTAGTTGTCCAAGTACACCTCACGATTTCGTAGTAGTTGGACAAACGTGGAGCTCTTGTCCAACTTCAGGTCATAGGCACAAAAACGTCGTATTATAGCCAGTAGGTACATGGACATACAATCAAAGTTGTTTACGTTTTGATGTAGTTAATCTTTTACGCGAATTTTTTAAACAAAAGTGTATAAAAAGTGAAGTACTTTGTAGAAAAAAAACACTATACTAATCAGTTTTGTTGTTAAAGGGTGCACCGATTTAAGAAAGTTGTTTTTAAAACATTTTGAAAAGTTAACCTCAAATTCACTGCTAATACAGATAAAGTATGGGTTCTGAAAAGAGAAAAAAATGTTTTAAAAAAGTGTAAAAGAATGAAAAAGAACAAAAGTAGAGGTCATACAACAAAAACAAAAAAGAGAATTAAGAAAAGTTATAATCTTATTAAAAGTAAATCTCAAATAACAAAACTAAAAAAATCAGTAAAATTGGTTTTACACTATCTCACTGATAGGTATATATCTTCTTTCTTTTTTCTTTCTCTGTGCCTTCTCCCCTTTCTTTTCTTAATTATTTTTTTTTTATTACATATACTTTCTTAAATCTTACATTTTCGACCTTTGCATAGGGTACAAGCTCCACGCCTGCAGAACTGCAGGATCATTGCTGGTTAAATCATGGAGGTATTCTTTAACTGAAAAAAATTTCGTTATCAAAATAATACTTGAATCGAAATCGATTCCTTAATCAAACGGGGAGTAAAACAGATATTTCTGCAGTGCACTCAGTAAAAGCGTGATACCTGTATGAATTTTGCAATTGTACTTGCAAAAATAACATGTTAAATCTGTAACGTAATCCTGCTTAAATTCTTATAGAAAACTCTGCAAGTAAATCTATAAAAATAGCAACCAAAATCACCCAGTAACCACGTGTTGCTTCGAAATTAGTATGACTCTACAACGATGGATGACTATTGGGAGCCCACGGATTGAGTTATCTTCTGGCCACGCGTAATAATATGCATCGGTAAAAGAAACAACCAACTCAAATTTGCAGAGATAAAATCGCTTACTTGAAATCCCCTAAATCATCTTGAAGAGAGAGCTAACTTAGATTTAAGGAGGACTGGGCGTTTGGTGTCGTATCTATTGTGGGATACTTATCATGCCAATGATTTTTTGTATTTTTTTTTCACAATTATATTTATTATATGCGTGTGCCAACGAAATATCAATAATACGCGGAAAAGTCACCAGGAAATAGATATTAAAAAAATTATTAGTTTTCCTGAGGTACCTTGCGTGAAGATGACGGCTCTATCACGATAAAACTGACATCACCGTACTCTCTTGCTCTCTTCTGCTATTATATACCTATACTTGTGTTGGACTTAAATCTTTATGCTTGTATGTTTATGTATGTACAGCGTATACGCACTTACAATACCTGAACAAAACAATTCTCACGTTCGACGTTTTCCTAACTGTTTTCTCAAAATTTAACGTGTTGACATTATCTTATTTTTTTGAGTAATAGATTCTTTATAATTAAAAGTATATGTACCAATTTGATTTCTGGGCCTACAGCTTTTTATTGCAGTACAATAGTCAATTCGATTTCGGATTCCGTAAGGTTACGTCTTAAAATAACGAATTTTCACAAGCGACTTTCTCGAAAATGATTGTGTTGACCTACCCATTATTTTTCATTAAAAAATCTGGCGTACTTTATTTACATAATCTCTGAATTTCAGAGCTAGCCATCATTCAATTCAAAGTCGCCTAAGCCTCTTTCAATTTAAAAAATATTCAACTCAGAGGAGTAAATTTTTGTTAAGTTTTATACTAACAGTTCAATTATTATAAATATAAGAATGAGGGAATGGAAAAAAAAAAAACAGTGGACAGTGGGTGATTGAGTACCCAAGTAAGAAATTATACTTCTATAAAATTATATGGCAGATAAGTAGTCGAGTTATAAATATAAATATACCTTCTATGCAACGATATTGTGTACAAAGGTGGTACAATTGTATCGATTAAATAGGTAAATCTACGTTACTTGGGTGGGGTTTCAATAAGAGATGGGCTATACTCTTAAAAAGTATCGAATACTTGGTATCCAGTACTTAGAAAGTATCGATACTATGGTATCGATATTTTTGAAAAAGTGTTCGGGTATCGATTACTTTTAAAACGGCTAACAGTTTTCATACAGATTACTTATAACATACTAGTATTTTCGTTAGAAGGGTTATGTAAATAAAACAATTATGGCTCATTATGTGATAACGGTATATTAGTGCTCGTGCTTTCTAGCCTTACTTTAATTTTTTTTTTCCAGTTAAAATATGTGTTATCACATTTTAAAAGATATTTAAATTAATTTTTCAGACCCATCTATTAAAAAAGGTACCTTATTTTATAAATATATCGTGCTCAACATAAATTCAGCTGTAATCGACTCAAAACTTTTTTTTTAATTTTAGTAACAAATCAAATTATTGATAGTTTTAACTACTACGAATTAATCATATCACGTTCGTTATTCTGTTAACAAAAAATAAGTTAATAGTTTGTGTACCATTATATATAAGTTTAATATTTTTCTACCTGAATTAAAAACATTTTAAAATTTAAACCTTATTTTGTTAATCATCACTAACCTTTCTTGTAATGCTGGATAATATATTGAAACATTTATTTTATACCAATGAAAATAAAAATAAAAAGATTTGAGTTCTCACCAATAGATATCATCGACTGATCGAAAAAAGGAATGGAATGATATTCCGGTTCTTGAAAAAAATCGTTCAACGCATCTAATTACATAATTATTGTTATCTGTAGAGCTACATATTTTTTTATATAATAAGTAAGGTAAAATGCCCAATATTTGGACAAAACTAAAATTTAGACCGATACTTGGACAGTGAAAAATCAGTCATTGTAGCAAATAAAAAAGAGATATTTTAAAAAACGGAATAGATTAGAAGTCCTATGATTATTATTGATGATACACTTGAACTTTGTAATAAATTTTAGCAAAATTTAATACAAGCGAATGATTCTAAATTTCACCTTCGGCGCCATAAGAGTGCGATAATTTTTCTCCGTTTTCTATGATTTTGATAATAGGTAATGCTCGTTAAAATTAATCCAATACATTTTTATGCATGCTGTATGGTATTATCTTACAACTTTTACATTAATTAACAATATTTCTAATGTAATCGTGGACAAAAAAAATTTTTATAATTTAAAACTAGTTGTCCAAGTACACCTCACGATTTCGTAGTAGTTGGACAAACGTGGAGCTCTTGTCCAACTTCAGGTCATAGGCACAAAAACGTCGTATTATAGCCAGTAGGTACATGGACATACAATCAAAGTTGTTTACGTTTTGATGTAGTTAATCTTTTACGCGAATTTTTTAAACAAAAGTGTATAAAAAGTGAAGTACTTTGTAGAAAAAAAACACTATACTAATCAGTTTTGTTGTTAAAGGGTGCACCGATTTAAGAAAGTTGTTTTTAAAACATTTTGAAAAGTTAACCTCAAATTCACTGCTAATACAGATAAAGTATGGGTTCTGAAAAGAGAAAAAAATGTTTTAAAAAAGTGTAAAAGAATGAAAAAGAACAAAAGTAGAGGTCATACAACAAAAACAAAAAAGAGGAGTAAGAAAAATTATGACCTTATTCAAAATCAATCTGAAATAACTAAACTAAAAAAATCAGTAAAATTAATATTACACTATCTCACTGATAGAACAATTGAAAAAACTGAGTGAGAACTGAGGTTAATTGAGTTGGATAATTCGTTTGCGATTGAAGAGATGCAGTTCTTGCAAAAAAAAATTCAAATCAAGAAGGAGAAGTGATTCCACACAATTAAAAATGTTGAAAATCAAAATGCACCCTGAAGGATTTATCTTGTATTTAATAAATTATTTTTAAAAAAGATTAAAAATTTTATTTACGAATCTCAAGTAATAAATTTGTTATTATTCATCACCTTCGTTAACCTTTTTTCGAATATATACTTTAGTTTTAATAAGTACTTGGGCCTTATCATGATTTATACAACTGTAAAATCGTTTAAGTAAGTATTGTCCAAGTACTGCTTTCCAACTTGTCCAAGTGTTGCAGCCTTCTCCAACTTTTGGTTTTTAAGGTTGTCCAACTACTACGACATTCGAGAATGATTGTCCAAGTACTCCGATAAGTTGACATGTTTTAAAATGTACGATAACTATTATTTAAGAGCTGTTTTAAAACATTTTTTTGTGTTATATAACCCTACGGCATCCTTATTACAAGTTAATATTTAAAAAATATGGAAGTGTTGCACATTAACTTCGAAAAATGAGCGTTAAAATTAGTTTCGAAAAATCTGTCCAAGTGTTGGGCATTTTACCTTAATTACTTTTTTTAACTTGGTGTTGTTTCGAATAAGTATTTTTTTAAATTTCTGATTCTAATTTTCTCATCCTAAAAAGGATGTTTAAGTTTTTTTTAGTGTGAACACTTTTTAGTTAGTTCCTAATATCTCCCTATTCCCAATATTATATATAAGGATGTATGTGTATATACTTACACTAGTTGTAATATATAGTACTTAAATAAGTCAATCACGTGCTGCATATCTCTTTGTTAAACACTAATTTTAAAATACTTTTAAACATCTAATTACGTGTGAGCTTGTATACATATACAAATGAAGTGATCGATACCGACTTAATCAAGTATCGGTACTCAGAGTATCAGATATTTCAAAGTATCAACAAAGTAATCGACACTGTTCTTAAAGTATCGATTACTTTTCGAATATCCGGAAAGTATCACGCATCCCTAGTTTCAATAAACATTTTAATATTCAACAACTGAATAATTATAAACAATATATTATGGCACAATACCATACAAAAAATGTGGAGGCTGGCCAGTAAAAGACTGTGCACTTTCATCGAATCTTCCGATGCTTTCTAAAGAACTTCCTATTGCCTACGCTGATTACATCTGTAACGTCACGCTCACATCTATCACGTAGGATCCCACACTTATTTCTAGTTCATATTTAAAGCCCAAAATATAATTGTATCTTAAAGATTGAGACAAACTCTTCTGTAGTACCGCTTTCTTCAATAACATATTACTACGTGCCAGTGAATGTCCCTTCAGGACGTTCAACGCACATTGGTTTTTTAGACAGATATTGTTCAAGCATCAAAAGTACACTAGAAATACCCTATGAAATATCCAAAAAAATTGCAGATCGTTCAATTGTACTCTTTTTCACATGTTTAATTTTAAAAATTTGCAATTTAACATGTAACCTTATGGAAAAATCACTTAAAATTGCAATTATAAGATCTGTATAAATCTCCCAATTTTCGTTTTTATGAAAGGTTACTTTTAGATAAACTTGTTCTATTTTCAAATAGATCTATAATTTTTTTTTTTTTTTTTAATAACACCATAAGAAGGAGTTAAGTACGCTTTAAAGCATGTATGTAAGTACATCCATATGAGAAAAATAATTTTCACCGTAGCTGCATACGTTTGTGCTCTTCCCACCTCTTTGAATTTTGAGCTGAACTTTTCCCCCACTCACTATGTGATAAACGTCCTCAAGTCAAAAAATCATCTTAATTACAAAAGAAAAATTGTGAAAGAAGAAAACGCAATAAAAAACAATTATTGTAATCATGCAGTACACAAAATTTTTTTTTTAATTATGAAAATTTTAAAAAATATGAAAAATTGTATACCAATTATTTATCTGTTTTAAAAG